TCTCATTGATGTTTCTGGCTCTCTATCCCTCTCCCTTCCTCTCTGTAAAAAATCAATAAAATATATTCTAAATAAATAAATAAATAAAGGGCCGGTCTCCAAATACGGTCAAATCTTGAGGTACTGAGGGCTGAGACCTCAACACAAGAATTTAGGGGGACACAATTCAGCCCGTAACAGGCCTCCTTTGCTTCTCATCTGCTTTCTCTCCCTAGGTGCTCTCTCCTACTCACTTGGCCTTTGTGTGTTAGTTGCCTCCAAATCCATCTCTGACGCCCCAGGGCCACTCCCTTGAGCTCAGTCACCATCGATCCAACCACTTTCTGCCTCAGGACCCTACTAGATACTGTTCCCTGACTGGGCTACTCTCCTCTCTTTAGTTGCTTAGTTCTTGCTCAGAGTTCCCAGTTGGGAAGTGTAACCCTGTGCATCTTTTGTTGAGTTTTATCAACAGAGAGTGGCCCCCTCTCCAGCCAGATGCACAAATAAGAGGTCTGAAAGTCACTCTCGACCCCTCCCTTTCCTTTACACCTCACTCAAAATTCCTGGACAAGACCTGCCAGTTTTACCTTTAAAAGGTCTGTTAAGTCCACAGCCTTGCCCAGCCTCCATGGCTCAGTGGTTGAGCGTTGACCTATATGAACCAGGAGTTCACTGGTTCAGTGATTGGTCAGGGCACATGCCCAGGTTGCAGGCTCAGTCCCCAGTGTGGGGCGTGCAGGCAGCCGATCAATGATTCTCTCTCATCATTAATGTTTCTATCTCTCTCTCCCTCTCCCTCCTTCTCTAAAATCAATAAAAAAAATATTTTTTAAAAAAGCCACAGCCTTCTCTCTGTCTCCATTGCCACTACCTGAGCGGTAGCCACTATCATCTCTTCCCTGGACATGACCTTCCTAACTGGTTTCCCTGTTTCTGCTTGCTCTCACTTCATTTCCTCTTCTCCACGCTGCAGCATGAGTAAGCTTTTATGAAAGCCCACCTAATTTTGTCCCCTCCTCCCATGCTGAAAACATTTTGATGACTTCTGTTTATGTTTAGGATGAAGGCACAGATTCTTAGCTTGGCCTGCAAGCTTAAGGAAACATGACTCCTGCCTGTCCCTGTAGCCTTATTTCACACCAGACCCCACCCCGCATTGGGAACACTTCATTATAGGTCGGCTACCTCTGGGCGTGTGCACATGCTGCTGTTGCTCTCTCTCACTCTCATCCCTCCAATGTCAGCTCAAAGGAAGATGCCCCTACGTTCCCGACAAGGTTGGAACTTAGGGTTATGCTTCACAGAGCCTGGCCTGTTCCCTGATTTATGATGATGCATTTCATCGTGTGATTATCTGATAATGAGCTGCTTGAGAGTGAGGCTCGTGCATGTCTCCCACACTCGGTACAGTGCTTAGTACAGAGTAGCTGCTCAATCAGTGCTTTAAATGAATATTATCTTATCTGATGGTGCCATCATTTATTCTACCAGCTGCTTTATTGTTGGAAACTGAGGGACTTTCCAAGTGCTCACTTTCATGAACAATATCACAATGAATATCCTTATGGATAATCATGACTCACATTTTTTTTGGTGTTAATCCTCATCTGAGGATATTTTTTCCATTGATATTTTTAGGGAGAGTGGAAGGGAAGGGGAGAGACAGCGAGAGAGAAACATAGATGTCAGAGAGACACATCGATTGGTTGCCTCCCAACCGGGGCTAGGACTAAGCCTTGACTGAAATCGAACCCCAGACAGTTCAGTTCGTGGGCAGATGCTCTAACCACTGAGCAACCGACCAGGGCAAGGCCCACATTTTTAATACTTTAAAATAAATATTACCAGTGAAGTTGCTGTGTCAGTTAAGGTTTTTGACACAAACTGTCAACTTCTCTACTGACAAAGAATATGTCATTAAGATTTCAAACTGTAATATATAAATAAACCCCTTTTTCTTTACCCTCACCAGTTGTTAGCAATATCTTAATTTTTTTTCCAGTCAGATAAGCGATGAAAATGATGTGTGTAAATATGCACCTCGATTTTCTTGTAGTCCTCCAAGATTTTATTTTTACCCTGGGAGGCAGTTTATGTAGTACAGATGTTGGAGTTATTTTTATAATACTGTCTTTCCACCCAGGAACTAGGCTTACCTTTCATGCATTCCAGGTTTCATTTCTGTGTCTCAATAACATTTAAATTTTGTCTTTATTGTGGGGAGGAGGGCTACATTTTACTAATTAATTCATTTAAAAATTTTTGTGCTAGTTAACCAAAAATATGACAAGCAGAAATTATTCTGATATCAGTAAAAACAATTAAGCTGATTCACATAAACAAAATATTTTATAGGCTTTCAGAAATAGTGTCTACCTCATCAGGTTGTTATGTGCATTAATTAAATTATTGCATATAAGACACTTTATTTATTTATTTTTTGTTAATCCTTTCCTGAGAATATTTTCCCATTGACTTTTAGAAGGGAGAGGGAGAGACAGAGAGAGAGAAACATCAATTGCTTGCCTCCTGCCCGTGCCCGATTAGGGCCAGGGATCGAGCCTGCAAAGGCATACATGCCCTTGACTGGAATCAAACCCGGGACCCTTCAGTCTTCGGGCAACACTTTATCCACAGCGCCAAACCAGCTAGGGCAGTATAAGATACTTTTAACAGTGCCTAGTACATAGTAAGCACTTGATAAATATCAGCTTTCATTATTTCAGATGCATTAAAATACCACACTCTCGCCCTAGCCTATTTGGCTCAGTGGATAGAGTGTCGACCTGCAGACTGAAGGGTCCCTGGTTTGATTCTGGTGAAGGACACATGCCTGGGTTGCGGGCTCAATCTCCAGTGGGGGAGCTTGTGGGAGGCAGCCAATCAATGATTCTCTCTCATCATTGATGTTTCTACCTCTCTCTCCCTCTGCCTTCCTCTCTGAAATCAATCAATCTGTATACATAAAATAAAAAAATAAAATAAAATACCACACTCTCAAAGGCATTTAAAAAACATGATACTATAAGCCAATAAAATACATCGTGTACTTTATTAGACAGCAATTATTAAATAGAATAAAGACTGCTATTGAAAATAGTTCATTCTTTAAAAACCACACTTCAGAGGCAGATGGGCATCTGTGGAGAGGTAGAATGAGGTAATGGGAAGAGAACAATATGTAGAAAAAGTGCGGTATGAGTAGCTCACTATAGAGTCAGACCTGGCCATTCCTAGTTTACTTAGAGTTTGTCTATCAGAAAACTTAAAAGTGATTCTCTCAGCACCATTCACAGGACGGTTGTCTTGTTACAGGAGATGTTCGGAATGATATTTATGTCACCCTGATCCATGGGGAGTTTGACAAAGGGAAAAAGAAGACGCCAAAGAACGTGGAGGTGACCATGTCTGTGTGTGACGAGGAGGGCAATACCTTGGAGGTACGCACCACGCCCAGAAGTGCTCTGCCATCACACATTCCTTCCTATTTTTTTTTTAATTTATCTTTATTGTTGAAAGTGTTACAGATGTCCCCTTTCCCCCACTTCTTTACAACAACGAGGGCCTTCTGGCCCGGAGTTGATTGTTCTCCACATTAGGGTGCATTTGGTTTTTCATAAGGAAAAAATATGAAACCTGTTAAATTTGTGATTAGCCTTGACCAGCTTTAGTAAGAAAACCATTGAGACTCTTATTTTTACATTTCTCCTGGGCTAAGAAACATCTCAAGCCACTACCGATCTCATGTACACGCAGAGGCTCTTTATCATTTCCAAACTGTGTAGCCCCTTCCAGGCCAAGTTCCCCTGGGGCTTGAGCGCAGGGGCGTGTGCCCAGGAGGCGCTCAGAGCCACTTTTCCTCCCCAGGCGAGTGGAGAGCAGGAGACACACCCATGAGGGAGCTTCCAAGTGGAAGCCTGGTGCTTAGAGGTCATGGTTAGAGGTCAGCTACAATGGGCTGTTAGTTTCAGTATCAGGAAACTGCAGCCCAGAAAGAATAAGTATTTTCTCAGGGAAACAGGAGTGAGTGGTGGAGCTGGGAATGGATCCAGGTATCCTGGCCCTCCAACCAGAGTTCCGACTGCCCGAATGGAGAAGACATGGGAGAGGAGATAGGCAGGAGGCTTCTTTGTCGCAGCTGGCATCTGGCTCCTCTGTCTGGGCCTTAGTTACCTGCTTTGGAATCCAAGACTCAAACTGCCAGCTCCCTCCGCTCCCTGTGTGCTTTGCTGCACAGGCATCTGAGGGACAGCGAGACATACAGTCCTGCCCCCTCCCCTGGATGTTAGAGTCTTTGAAGGAAACAGTCCACTAAGTGACTCAGTGTTCTGTGTCACGGGACAAGCAGAATGCTGTGGGCCATGCGGTGGGGGTGGTTTATTTGTGCTATCGGTAGAGCCCCTTAGCCCCTGAGTTCAAGTACACATCTTCTCCGAGTTGGTCATTTCACGGCTTTGCTGACCAGCTGGGCAGTGCCCCACTGAAGCCTGGTCTACTGAGCTGAGAGGTTCATTACTAGGAAGAGACAGCCCTGAGTTTCAGTGAACATGCTGTACCTACGCACCCGGTCCTCAAAGCAGAGTCCACAGAACCTCACAGCCGTGTGCTCACAGTTGCCGGCCAGCTCACGGGCCTCTGCTCCCGGGAAGGAGAGGGAAGAAAAGAGAGTGTATGTCTGAGGGCGGTGGGGTGTGGGGCATCAATGTTGCAGCAAAGAGGAGTGTTAGGACGGTGCTGGATCCCTTATTGATACCCACATTTAGACCCTCAGGTAGGGTTGTAGAAACTCATTCTTACTCTACTCTTCATCCCCAAATGGAGTCAGCTTGTGGGTGCCGGTGGTCAGGCCTGCACTGGCCATGCGGAGGGCTTATGAGTGCTGTGCAGGTTCTTTTATTGTTCTAATGACATTATCTCCTAACTTTTTCTCTCCATCTAAAGAAAGCACTTCATCCCGGCGCTGGATACGAAGGCATTTCGGAGTACAAATCAGTGGTCTATTACCAAGTCAAACAGCCCTGTTGGTATGAGACTGTCAAGGTGAGAATAGACGCCTATCATAATTAAACCTGGTTCACATTCCTTTCTTCCTTTTACCTACAAATCATTCCTACCTTATCTGGAAGTTGTAGATGGGTTGCTTGTGGTGTGCAATAAGTAATTGTAATGAACTGATCATTACAATTCTGTGTAAGAGTCAGATTTCTTGAATGACATTCTTCTTCGTTAATGTGTAGAAATTTGAATAGAGAGACTGTTGTAATGATACAGTAGGCTGCCAAGATGGTCCAAATCCAAACGAGAACTTTCCCACTCTGCCAGCAGTTGCCTAACTTTATTTGCTTCTTGGCCTCTAACCAAGTTTTCTGGGCCTCTTTTCAGTTTAAATACGTATATTACAAATTCCAGCGTGCTTTTCCGATCAGTCATCTTCTGTGAGCTTCTCAGTAGCCCTGCGACTGAAACATTCTGTTTTTTAAAGCCCTTCTGACTAGGTGCCCGCGGCTTGGAGAAGAGGCTCGATTCCCAGGCCCTGTAGCTGCTCCAGCGCTCTTTCTGGTTGCCCACGTGTTCAGAGCTCTCCAAGAAAGCTCAGGAAATATGCATAAATACACATTTGCATTAATATCTCCATTCAGAAGTAACTATTGTCCACAATTTCATATACTTCAGGTGTTTTCAGTTATGCTGTTTATACAAATTTATACTGTGCTTTTAAAAACTACTTTATCTCGAAGCATTAAAGTTACTCAGAAATGTATTTTTTGATACTTGTATAATACTCCATTGGAAATTGTGCCAGGATTTATCTAACCGTTTGCCTAAGTTCTCTGCTCTTTTCATTGCCTCATACTTCCATTTTTCTTGTCCCCCATCTTCATATGAGCGGTAAATTCTTTCTTGTCCCCAGTATATACCTTTTCCTTCTATTATAGGCCCGAATTATTACCATATATACACCTTGCAATCTGAAAGGTCCTGTATGAACCTCAAAGTGCTCATGTTTTCCCTCTGAAGTATTTCCTGTTTCAAACAAGAAAACACTAGAAAAGTGGATCATCTCCATTCCCAGGATCTTCCATAAACAGCAAAGATGATCTTCTCCCGAGAGTCTTTTGGCTTGAAAATAGCTAAATCCTTTGACTGAAACCTCCCGCCAAATCTCAGTTTATAGGAATTAGTGCCGGGACAGGACTCTAAAACTAAGCCTGACTCTGTAAAACGAGCTCTGAGAACAAAGTAATATATATGTGTGTAAGCTATTGATTTCTTCCTATTATGCAGGTATCCATTGCTATCGAAGAGGTTACTCGCTGCCATATACGGTTCACCTTCCGACACCGATCATCGCAGGAATGTGAGTACCAGGAGGTCTGGGACATCTCCGTGTGAAACAGACATGTTCTTGCTTGGTGTGCTTGCGTGGGCCTGGAGAACAAGATACTTGGCATCTTCATTTCAGAACTCATTGGTGCTTGGAAATCAGAAAGAAAAAAAAAGAATTTTCCTGGGCTTCTAAGATCTGTTATTATTTTATATCAGAATTTCCCCCAAATGTGTTCAGTGAGCACTAAAATTTTGTGAGATGCTAATAGATACTCTATGACAAAAAGGGTTTCATAGTCCACAGGAATAGGAAATGCTATAACTTACCTCTCCCTGAAACAGTCACACTGTGTGTTGCTGAAAAGTCCTGCAGCAAGAAAACTATTTAATATGAAACTGTTTAATCTGTTGTCTCCCCAAATGACCACTTTTCTCATTTCAAGTCTTCGATTACAGATAAATGTAAAGGCTGCCCTTAAGTGTGAACAGAGAAGAAAAATGATTGTTTTCAGATTAATCACAAAATTTCTCCCAAGTATCTTGTTCTCATTTAGCACATAAAAAATGCAGTTTTTTATTTCAAACTGGATGTAGTCGAGCCATCTATGTACCAGACCAGGCCCTGGGTATGTCCCAGCAGACGGGGCACGGCCACTGCTCTGAAGGGCCTCTGTGGGCAGGTGAGGAAGCTGAGCAAGAGAAGAGGAGACCACGTTCAGAGCGGGAGTACGGCCACAGCAGCACAGAGCTGTGGGGAACACGGAGCCCGGCACCTCGCCCATTAGGGGGTTCATGCATGAGATTTCCTACAACGTAGGTGAGGCCTGAAGGGGACTAGAAGTTCGCTCAACAGGGAGTGACAGTGCAGAAAAGTGCCTGAAAACCAAAGTGAGCTCAGTAGAGCCGAACGGGAGCAGGGGGAGCAATCATAATTTCAGGTTGAACGACATGAAATGGCCACTTTGTCGGTCAGTGTCAAATATCAGCAATTTCGTACGGCTCTATGCAGAGCATTTATCCAGCCTTAGTTTGTACCAGACACTCAGTGAAGCTCCATTTACACACCACCTTGTTTATACCCACAATAATCTGATAAAGTGCATACTACTTTAATCCACACTTACCTATAAGGAAACTGAGCACAGAGGGGTTAAGTCCTTGGTCAAATGCACACTGCCAGGAAGTGGTAGAGCCTGGGTTGACAATCTTGCCAGGTGGGCTGGAGCCAGATCACGAAAGATGAAGGTTCTTTTGAGCCCTGTATGAAGGAGCCATTAAAGGGTGTGTTATGGCGGTGGGTACACGTTTGGTACATGTTTAAAGCAGCTTTATTAATAATATTATCATGTTGGACATAGCCCAGATGGTCATCGAAAGGAGAATGGATAACCATTGTAGAAATAGAGGGAAGAAGTGGGGGTGGCCTGAACTTAGGCAGAAACAGAGGGGATGGAGAAGAATGGCACAGGTCCCAGGGGTATTCAGTACATGGAGATGACATGGGGTGGAGTCGGTGTCCACACCCACATTTCTGATTTAGATCATCTAGGGGTTGCTGGCCTCATTCATTTGTAAACATAGGGAGAAGAGCATAGTGGAGGTACCAGAAGATTTCAGTGTGGGAAATACTTCCTTTAAGAATCCTGTGACACACACTGTATGATTGTAACTTGCTGAACTGTGCTGCTTACGGCATGATTGAACGTCACACCCCAGAGCAAAATGTGAAGCCGGACGTCATAGCCATCACTTCCTGACCACCTCTCTGCACTGCTCAGACTCGCTGTTTCTGTCTTTTCAGCCAGAGATCGATCGGAGCGAGCATTTGGGGTGGCCTTCGTGAAGCTGATGAAGGCGGACGGCACCACCCTGCAGGACGGGAGGCACGATCTGGTGGTTTATAAGGTGGTGCACAGAACGAGCCTCAGAAAATCACTGAGGAAATGTTTACTCCCTCTGAAATTGGTTCTGAAGGTTCCTTTCAGACTTATACCTATAAACATCAAAAACTTCTCTAGTCCTGGCCAGCATGGACCAATGGTTAGAGCATCCCGGCCCGTGCACTGAAGGTTCTCCAGTTCAATTCCCTGTCAAGGGCATGTACCTGGGTTGCAGGTCCGATCCCCGCCCCTGGGTCAGGGTGCGTTGAGAGGCAACCAATCGCTGTGTCTCTGTCACATCTGTGTCTCTCTCCCTCCCTCCTCTTCCCCGCTCCCTTCCACTCTCTCTAGAATCAATGGAAAACATATCCTCACTCATCCAGTGAGGATTAAAAAACAAACAAAACTTCTCTAGAGCTGCGTGTGTTTGCCCCTTTAAGTCTAGCATCCCGAAGGCTACATCCCCCTGGCTGCGTGGTCTCCCCTCCGCTTTCTGGAAGGAGTGAGTTCAGTATTAGTCTCCCTCTCCTGCACGTGGCGCTCGTGGCTGCCCGCTTGCCTTTGCGTCACCCTGTGTGGCGTGTAGACAGTTGCACTGTTGGGCTTGGTTAGAGTGTGGTAGGATGTGTTTTTCATATCAGCGTGAGCCAGACACCACTTCTCTGCTATCGGGCATCGTTTCCTTCCCTGACAGTCTTGTCTTCTAACTGCTGCAGAGCTATCGCATCTACTGAGATTTTAGGGTGGAAAGTAGATGCCAGAAGATCTCGTCCATCCAACAGTATCATGGGGTTGGCAGCTTTTTTGAGATGTACCCGACTGATCTGTATTTTTCTTAATAGCTATAATTAGTTCATAGATAGTTGGGAAGGCAGGGCAAGCTATTTCTTCCCAGTGACCCCAGTCAACCCAATGATGCATAATTGTGACCATTTAGAGGTTCCAGATAATAAATTCCAACCTTATTCTTTATTATTTATTTATGTATTTATAGCAGACACCTAGGCTATTCTTAGTCTAGCTCACAACTTACTCCATGTTTATTCAGTTTGAGTCTGGGCTCCCACCCTGGGTAGGGCCACAGTTCTCGGAGTTGGAAGGGACCTGGTTTAATTTGATGAAACCTCATTTCTCATGCCGGAAAGGCACCGTCTTCATTGGCGTGTAGAGGCTGTGCCCCTCCTTTGATCTTCCTGACATGCTGCCTTTCCAGGGAGACAACAAGAAAATGGAAGACGCTAAGTTCTACCTGACCCTGCCTGGGACCAAGGCAGAGATGGAAGAAAAAGAGCTGCAAGCATCCAAAACCCAGGCCAGCTTTGCCGCCACCAAGGAGAGCACCAAAGACAGTTTCCAGATCGCCACCCTCATCTGCTCCACGAAGCTCACGCAGAACGGTAGGTGTGGGACGGAGGGGCCCTAAGCGCGCTCTTCTTAGGCCTCCTGGGCCTCCCGCTAGGCTCTGGCTGGACCACGTGGGCCACGTCTTCGGACATGGGTGCTGGGCACTTGGACTGGGTTCTCTGCTCTTCAGGAGATGGCCAGGGACGAGAGGTCCTGACCCGATAGCTGAAGCGCCTTCTGGGGTCTTGTTGTCCATCTTTCAAACAGGATAAAAAGCATTTGTGCATTTTTTAATATTGTCAAACCTCTAAATGTATTCATTACCAGGACCTGGTGAGGTTTCTTTTCTGGATTTATGACAGTGTTTAGTAAATGCAGTCTGAGCAAATGGGAGAGTCAGGTTAGTGCTGACTTCTGTTGCAGCAACCTTTAGGCCTCGGCATACAAGTCTGGTGACGGTTACTGTAAATTGGCATTCATCATGCTACAGATCTGTATAACTGATTTAATCATTTGCCATTTTGTAGGTTATGTACTGACATGAACACATCCTTTGGAAAAAGCCACTTTAAATTATGAACTGTTTTCAAAGAATGGCTTAAAATGAGGTCCTATTCTGGACAAAGAAAATTAAATATTTAATTCATATAAAATTGGAAAGTCTTATGTTTCTTTCCTTTAAGGGAGCAAAGAGCTCTGATAATGTGTCCTGTGTAATAAATGTAACAAGGGATGTTGGTAATAAGGGGAGGACACTGGCAGAGAAATAGAATCGGTCTTGGCCTAGATCTTTATATTGTCTCCATAGTTTTGCCTTTTTTCTGGCTTAATTTTTGGTGAGTGTGCTTTTACTTTCCAATATGTTAGGTAAAAAGTAAATATAATAAACTGCTGATATGAGTTGAGTTGAAATGTTACAGTATTTATGGAAGATGATTTAGAAGGTATATCAAATATTTATAAGGTATTCAGACCCCTTGACCCAGTAACTTGACCCCTAGAAATTGAACTGAAGTAAACAATGAGAGAGGTGCACAAAAATGAATGAATAAAGATTTTCCCTATTTTTCATAAGAGGGGAATAGTTGAAACAACTAACTATCCAATACTTGGGACCAGTTTAAATTATAAAGTGGAATTAAAGGACAAAATACATGCCATTGCCAAATATATTTCAAAACAGTCAAAGACATGAAAACTTTTTAGCACTATGTAGAGTATAATCTCAGTCTTCTTTAAATGTCTGAGGACAACTTGGAGCCAGTTGCCTGGGTTCAAATCCCAGCTCTGCCACTTACTAGCTGTTTCATCTTAGGCAAGTCACTTGATCTGTCTGTGACTTGATTTCCTCTTCTTTAAGGAAGTATAATAGTATATGTTTCAAAGAATGTCCTAAGTTAAAATATGTAAAAGCAAAGCAACAGAGTCTAGCCCCTTGGAAACACTATATGAGAATTAACTCTTATTACTGTCACCATCATTATAAATACACAGAAAAAGACTAAAAGAAACAACTTCAAAAGTTTAGATAGTTCTTATTTTCTTTGTTTCTTTCAGTATTTTGAGTATAATAGTGTATGTTTCAAAGAACAACGTAAGTTAAAATATGTAAAAGCAAAGCAAGAGTCTAGCCCAGGGGTGGGCAAACTTTTTGACTCGAGGGCCACAATGGGTTCTTAAAATGGACCGGAGGGCCGAAACAAAAGCATGGATGGAGTGTTTGTGTGAACTAATATAAATTCAAAGTAAACATCATTACATAAAAGGGTACGGTCTTTTTTTTTTTTGTTTTATTCATTTCAAATAGGCCGGATCCGGCCCGCGGGCCGTAATTTGCCCACGGCTGGTCTAGCCCCTTGGAAACACTATATGAGAATTAACTCTTATTACTGTCACCATCATTATAAATACACAGAAAAAGACTAAAAGAAACAACTTCAAAAGTTTAGATAGTTCTTATTTTCTTTGTTTCTTTCAGTATTTTCCAAATTTTTAACTATGAAATGTCAAAATGTTATTTTTTTTAAAGGAAACATTTATTTATTTATTTTTCATTGATTTCAGAGAGGAAGGGAGAGGGAGAGAGACCTAGAAATATCAATGATGAGAGAAAATCATTGATTGGCTACCTCCTGCACTCCCCCTACTGGGGATCGAGTCCAGGCATGTGCCCTTGACTGGAATCAAATTCGTGACCCTTCAGTCCACAGGCTGATGCTCTATCCACTTATCCAAACCAGCCAGGGCAAAATGTTATTTTTTTTAAGTATAGCAATAGCCTATATAAAGCATTAGTGTACTTTTGAGACTATCAAGGGACACTCAAGAGGGATAGCATTTATCAAACACCTAGTAGATCATCCTTCCCAGAGATTAGAGCTCAAAGAAAACAAGTAACAGGAGCCTGAAAATGATTTCTAAAACAAAGAAAAAGGGATTTCTGTTAGAGAAAACCATATTGTTATGTTGCTTTTTGTCTCTGCGTCGAACATTTTGGAAGCTACTGCCAGGTCGCAGTACTCAGTCGGCTCAGACACTCACCCTGCGGCATCTACATTGCCCATCGTCCACGTGTTCTAAACCTGTGCTGTGCTGACAGCCACTGGCCACGTGCAGCTTGGGACATTTAGGTCCGATAAAAGTAAATGAGGGGAGGAATTCAGTTCCTTAGGTTCACTAGTCTCATTCCAAAGGCTCAGCGCTTCACGGGGCTGGTGACTTCAGTTGGCCAGCACGGATAGGGTTGTCTCCGTGTTGAACGTTTAGGAAGCTACTGCCAGGTCGCAGTATTCCGCTCAGACACTCGCCCTGCGGCATCTACATCGCCAGTTGTCCACGTGTTCTAAACCTGTGCTGTGCTGACAGCCACTGGCCACGTGCAGCTTGGGACATTTAGGTCAGATAAAAGTAAATGAGGGGAGGAATTCAGTTCCTTAGGTTCACTAGTCTCATTCCAAAGGCTCAGCGCTTCACGGGGCTGGTGACTTCAGTTGGCCAGCACGGATAGGCACCGTTGCCATCATCACAGAGGTTCCGTTGGGGGTACTGTACTCTTTCCTTTGTTGTCATCTCATTCCTAGTGTTTAGATCTCAAAAAACTCATCCTAACAAACCAAAAAAAGCCTTAAATAATGTCCCCTCCCAAAAAGGTTGAAGGAGGCAAACTGATCTTAACCAGAGAGAAGTGACCTCCATCGGCAGGATGGGATAGGAAAGGGGACAGAGGGGAAAGATGGGGAGGCCAGCAGGACGGCACGCGCATCAGGAAAGCAGGGCCTTCAGAGGGACAGGTAATGACTGGGTTCCTCATGCATTGGCTCTCCTCTAATTTGATGTAAGAGATAACGAACCAATGGAATTTGTTCTGAGAAAGAAGAAGCTGGAGAATATTAAGAAGCCACCAATCTCAGAGCATTTCCTGATCAGGAGCGTAGCTGTTCTTTCACACAGACCTGACAAAGGCATTTCTTACTAGCGGTACCAGGACCACTCAGACTCAGAAGGTGAAAAGCCACAGGCCCTTGTTCGGGCAGAGCTTGTTGGCTCTTTATTAGTTTTTTCAAAGCAAGAACAGACCGGTTGTTTACATGGAATTACTTGTTGCTGGGCCCAGATGGAGGGTGAGAGAAGATTTGTTGTTCCAGGAAAGGGAAAAGGGATTTCAGTTTTGAGCCAGCTGTTCACAGTCGCCCAAACCCTCGCACATGGAGACCCAGTATTCCCATTAGTAACCTCAGTTTACTGACCAGAAAATTGAGTCAAAGTGCTAAAATATTTCGCCTAAGATCATAAGTGGTGGTCTTGGATCTGAAAATAGATAAATAACTCCAAGGCCAGTGGGTTTTTAAAAAATTATTATTATTAAGTGTTATGGTTTCTAATCCTCTCCCAAAGGTATTCACTATCCTAAATTCTGGGATTATAAATTAGAGTATCCTGAATTCTTACATACTTTTCTTGGGGATAGAAATTGGGACAACTTTGGACATTTGATAATACCTGGTACCGTTGAAGATGGTCATTCCTGATGACCCAGAAATTCCACTCCAGTTTTGTATCTCAGAGAAGCTACTGCACCTGGTCCAGAAGACACATGAGAGTGTTCACAGCAGAATTGTTTGTGACAGAAAAAATTAGAAACAACCCTAATGTTTATTGGCAGTGGAATGAGTAGACAATTATGGTGCATTTATACAAGGGGGTAGATGTTACACAGCAATGAAAATTAGCTTGAGCTGTATGTATCAACCTGTATGGGTGCAGAAACACAGCTAGTCCAGGGCTTTCCATAACACCGTGCCACCACTTTCCTAGCCTCAAGACCTGTGATTCATCAGATGCCAAATGGATTCCTAACATGAGCAGTGACGAGGCATGCAAACATGTTTAGGGGGTAAACTTCCGGGCTGGTCGATGGGTTCTTTGCAACTTCTTGAAGCTGCTGGGTGACTGGAGTGTGTAAGTCCTTTTTCTCAGGCAGCGGTGAGTGGAGTGAAGTGTAGATGGAGTGGTCTCATTGACTAGCCTGTGACAGAAGTGGAGATGGGAAGATGAAAGAGGACAGTGCCTAATGGGCAGGCCTAGCACAGTGCCTGTTATTACATGCTGAATGAATGAATAAATGAATTAAAGAATTAATATTGAGCACATGACTAGCTTCCTCAGGGCTACCAGTTCTCTTTTCATCCATCTATTCATCTGTTCATTCAGTCTTTCATCAAACATGTATTGAACACCTACTAGGTACATAGCAGCATGGTGGTGTACAAGAATAAAAGCAATATGATTCCTGCCCTCAAGTGACTCAAATCTATGGGAAGAGAAAGAGATACCAAGAGTGTCTTTATTATTTGTTATTTTATGGTTATGGATATGGGTATGTAGGAAAGAGTGCCAACAGCAGAGAATGATTAGGAAGTTCTTCCCAGAGGGAATAGAGTTTGAGATGGGCCATGAAATTTAAAGGGCTTGGCTGGTATGGCTCAGTGGTTGAGCAGGTGGACCAGGAGGTCACAGTTCGATTCCCAGTTAGGGCACATGCGTGGGGTTGCAGGCTTGATCCCCAAGTAGGGTGCATGCAGGAGGCAACTAATCAATGGTTCTCTCTCATCATTGATGTTTCTATCCCACTCTCCTCCCTTCCTCTATTTGAAATAAATAAAAACATATTAAAATAAATAAAGAGTATTCAAAAAATTTAAGTAGGGACTTGCAAATACATAGTATTTGTGTACATTTCAGAAAAAGAGAAGAATATATGCAAAGACATGGAGCTATTTCAGAGCATGCCACTGTGGGGGATGAGGCATGCAGAGAGAAAGGTGGGAGATGTGGCAGCAGGACCATAGGTGCGGCCTAACTGCCTTCCATGCGTAGTACTGGGACCTTATTCTGTTGACAGTGGACAGGCCTTGTGCAATGTCTCTAGGCACTGCGTTTAGGAGACTTCCAAGAGATTAAACATTAAACAATATTTAATAACAATAAAACAAACACCAGTGAAGCAATGACTATTGTAATGAACAGTATGTGTTTTCAACTACTTACATATATATTTATACAAGTCCATTGATGAAAAATTACGTGTTGCTTCTTTTACTAGATAAAACTCTGTTAATGGCAATAGTAACTTGATGTATTAAACAAAATAGTAACAGTCCAGATGCCTGTTATATTTCCATGGGACACTTTAGTAGCCAACATTCATTAAAGCTGTAAGTGGCTTAAAGATTCAAAAGTCTACGTTTTAAATGCGAAGTCATCTGAAGATTTTTGTCCCAGACTTACCCAACGGGGCCATGAATCTGTTCTGCCTTCCTTTGAAATAGCAACTTTTCTAGGGTGCTTGTCTGTTTCTTTGCAGAGCTCTAGGGAGATAATATGTCAGAGTAGCAATGACATGATTTTTTGGAATCAGATGAGTTTATAATTAGATTCCATTCCTACCACTTCCTGGCAGTTGTGTGACCTAAAGCAAGGAATTCAGTTTCACAAAGCCTCAGTTTCCTCATCTCAAAAATGGAAAAAATAAAGTCTGCTCCACAATATGGGTGTGATGTTTAAAAGCATTAATGCATGTGTACAAGTTCCCTTTTCCCCTTTGAATCTACTGAGACACACATACTAGGGAGAAATTAACCAGTGCAGCAAATTAGAGGTAGGAAGATTACTTAAAAATAAATACATTTAAAAGGGAGTGTTTTAGGCATCAGCTGTGTGGCTGTGATGTCATTATTGCAAAATGTGAGTTCTATTCAGGTATTGTTTTATGGTTATGAACATTAGTGGTTAATTTTTAAAAAATCTTTTACAAATAAAAGAAGACCACAAAGTTTTTCTCTGAGTTAGATGGGACACAGTAAATTAATGGAATACATGAGGTATTATGAGGTATTGGCCACCATTAAGAGCCATTGTCTTTTCTAGAGAGTTCTGCAGCTGTATCCAGCAATGGTCTGGGCTGCTCTTTCTAATCGCTGTCTAATGTTTATGGTTTGTGCTCTTTTCTCCTAGTTGACCTGTTAGGCTTGTTGAATTGGCGTTCGAACTTCCAGAATATTAAACACAACCTAAAGAAGTTAATGGAGGTGGATGGAGGAGAGATTGTTAAGGTACGTTTAGATATCCATACTTAGAAATATACCCACTATATTATTACTTCAGCATTTTAAATTAAACCTATCTTTGTAAATATAACACTTGTTATCTACATTGGGAAGCAAGCGTGTGATTTTTAAGAAAATGCTATTTTAAAACCTATGCTATTGAAACCTAATTATCTCTGAATTTCTACAGTATGGAGTTGAGCCAAAACCACCAAATAACCTCTCTGTTTTTTTCTTTCTTCAGTTTTTGCAGGATACACTCGATGCACTTTTTAATATAATGATGGAAATGTCAGACAATGAAACATATGACTTTCTTGTGTTTGATGCACTGGTAAGCAGTTAAGCATATTAACTAGTGTTTATTCTCTGAACCGTTAATTTTCGTTATGCCTCCTGCATACATATCCATATACATCTGTCTTGACTATTTCTTGAGGCTAAATATCTGAAAGTGAGATTAGAAACATTTGGTTTAGATTCAAAGCCTTTCTTTTTTCTCTTTCCTAATAGATCCCAATTTTGATGTACTTTCCCTTTCTCATGAGGGAAAACAAGGTTGTATCACACTAGAAATCAGGAATTACTTTAATCACCTTAAAGTTATCTAGTCCCACACCAAGAGAAACCACTCAGAGAGGCTTGTGGCTTGCAGCGTATGTGTGTATGTGAGTTCACACAAGGCAGACTGACTTCCCAAGTCAGAGATGAATCTTAGTCACGTATATGTATGATACACAGCCCTGCAGATGACTCAATGTCACACAAAGCACTTAAACACACAGTCCGTTCCAGGAGCTGAAATCTAGACCAGGAGAGGTGATCTGGGAAGGCCAGAGTGGTGGGGGGAAGGGGAGAGTGGAAAAGGCTGACACATCCAAGCCAAGCATTATTTTCTCGTCAGGGTTTAAGTTCAGTGCAGAATTTGGAAGGTAAATTTGTAGCTTTAGGTCATTCTCCAGCTTGGAGAAACGTGAATGCAAGCACTCAGGGCTGGATGATAAGGGATGATAAGACAGGAAGTGCCTCCAGCTGAGGTCACACCTGGTCAAGTCCCGAGAACAAGAAACTGGCTCTGAGCCCGGTGCCTAAGGTCTGGATGCATTCCTGCGCCAGGGCAGGGACAGTGGCACCTGGGGAAGCCTCGGTGCTCCTTTTGCACTTTCCTCATGAGTAGGTGCAGGTGCAAAGAGAGGTTAGTTGCAGATTATGTGCCTGACAGTGATAGGAGAGCAAAATTGAGAGGTTAGTTGCAGATTGCTGGGGTCCAACCCCAGCCGGTCCAGGGGTCCCCAAAGGTGTGGACGGAGTCAGCGAAGAAGGGATGACACGGGGCCAGCGTTCAGTTGATCAGCATAGCGAGGTTCTCCCTCCAGGATCTCCAGCCAAGTTCTGTCTAGGTTCTCCAGGTTCTCTAGCCAGGTTCTCTCGCTAGGTTCTGTCTCTAGATTCTGTCTAGGATCTCCAGCCAAGTCCTGTCTCTAGGTTCTGTGTCTAGGTTCTGTGTCTAGGTTCTGACTCTAGGTTCTGTGTCTAGGTTCTGACTCTAGGTTCTGTGTCTAGGTTCTGACTCTAGGTTCTGTGTCTAGGTTCTGACTCTAGGTTCTGTGTCTAGGTTCTGACTCTAGGTTCTGTGTCTAGGTTCTGACTCTAGGTTCTGTGTCTAGGTTCTGACTCTAGGTTCTGTGTCTAGGTTCTGACTCTAGGTTCTGTGTCTAGGTTCTGACTCTAGGTTCTGTGTCTAGGTTCTGACTCTAGGTTCTGTGTCTAGGTTCTGACTCTAGGTTCTGTGTCTAGGTTCTGACTCTAGGTTCTGTGTCTAGGTTCTGACTCTAGGTTCTGTGTCTAGGTTCTGAAAGAACAGTATGCCATATATGCCAGGTCCCTTGAAACAGCAAGGATGGACCGGCTCCCGGCAGCAGATTATGTGCCTGACAGTGATAGGAGAGCAAAATTGCGGGGCAAAAGTCTGGTGAGGTTCAGTTACTGGGGCTCCCACACTGCACTCAGGAGGAGAATGCCATGGAATATTTCCTTAGCTGCATCCGGGTCAGAGTTTATTCTTCCCATGGAAACCCTGTCCGTATCCCCTCTCTCCTGCCCCATGTCTCCCCGACTGTGTCCCTTGTGCACTGCACTGAGACAGCGAGGTCCCTGAGGCCAGGGTGCTTCCGCTGGTTTCCTCGCAGCATTTACTTGGTGCCTGACACGTCATAGTCTCCGTTCATGTTAAATAGAAAGGAACCCAAGACATGACTTGGGCTGGAATATAAAGTGAGGATGCTGCAGACGTGGTGAAGAAGGAAAGAGCAACAGATGTGAAATCCAGGTGTGGACATAGAGCCTGGGGTGTGTTCAGAGCTACTATTTATGTTCCTCCCGTGACAGGTGTTCATTATTTCACTGATCGGAGACATCAAGTTTCAGCATTTTAACCCCGTCCTGGAAACCTACATTTACAAGCACTTCAGTGCCACCTTGGCCTACGTGTGAGTACGACTCCGGGAGCCTGCTGTTGGGTTGCCCAATTTGGACTCTTCGATCTGCTTGTTGAGAAACCCAAGGGTCGTAGGCTGAGTAAACGTGGCCCCAAGGGCAGAGATTTGTTCTGAGCTTCCTGGTGGAAAGTGGGGCCATCTAACATTCTTACCCTGAAAACGTATGAAGTTCAGGCTCTCCTTCTAGGAACTGAGAGAAGAGATAAGGCTGTATATCTTTAAGATTCCAGAAGATATAGGGGAGAAGCTGTGGCCATCAGGAGCATCAGCCAGGACAGCTGGCCATACTCAGGATCTTTGCAATTGGGTGTCAGTGAGCTTAGCCTGAGGCCCTGGGGATCAAACAGTGGAGTAAACAAAACCATGTCTGGTAGAAGAGCAAGTCAGGCTCTCAATCCTATGCCACAGTGCTGTAGAATTACTACTCATAAACTATGAGAGGACTTCATTTCCCCTTCTTTGCATGAGAGGGAATGGTCTCTCCCTCTTCCGTGGCGTAGCTTTCTTTCTGTCTTTGGTCCCTGACTGAAGAGAGCAGCAAATGTTCGCTCTGCACTGTGCCCAGGAGCGCTTAGTTCATCATGTGGTCTACGTGGCCTGTCATTCCAGTTATTTTGCAAAGCCGTGTGACAAGTAGTGACAGGAATGTAGCAGAGGTCAGCAAGATCTTTTGACAGAGGCTTTTGCCAGATCATGCCAATTGCTGCCGGCTGGTCTGTCGGGGTAGCTGCTGACCTGATCGTTAGGTCAAATCATGCATCCGTTGTGTCCTGTTCTGAGTTATACAACTCCTTAGTTTTATTTGCATGAGAGTCCAGAAATATAATAATACACACGTGACATAAAAGAGGTGTCCTGCAGCGTAACGGGGGCTTCAGTGCCCACTGCAGGGGGGAAGTAGCAGCGATACCAGTGGCTTTACTTTCCACGCCGGCAGCAGCCATAGGCGAGGAGGTCCTGACAGGCACTTTCATTACACAGAGTGAAATGCAGCGCTCTGGTGAGAGGAATCTGGATTTGGCCACATGTTTCCTCCGGATTTTCTCTTAGAAACTCGGAGATTCCCAGAAGGGAAGTTCACAATATCAGTGCCCTCAAAAGGGTGAATTAGCAGAAGATTCAGACAGTGCCTCGTCTGAAGGCTCTAGAAAGACAAAAGGAGCTGTCTGCAATCTCTAACCAGGGCTGTCTGTCGGGAGTTCGTGACCAAGGGTGCCCTGGTCTCCCCACACTCATGATGTTTCCTTCTGGCTCAGTAGTCACTGATTGCCACAGGTTTGGGCAGATGGAAGGGAATGAGATAGACACCCTTTAAGGTAACTGTCTCAGATGGGCAATCTCTCCCTTCAAGGAACATCT